CGTATCGATGATATTTATGTGTGTGTGTATTATAAATATATATATAAATATTATATATATACATAAATACATACGTGTTTTTTTTCTCCGCTCATTGCAAAGATTTTTTGTGTCAGATTATGAGTTTTACGGTTTTTMGATGTACAATAGTAATTATATATTATATATCATAGGGTATGTTAAACAATCGTCACATACATATAGATACTAATGTCGTAATAGTATAATACTGCAGTCATTGTAAATAGTAAAAAGATAAATTTTAAAATACCTTTCAAGATTTCAATTTTCAACGTGTTTTCGCCGTTTTTGCAGAGACACTCATCATGGGAAATAGGTTTCCTATCGAAAAACTTGATTTTTTCACGTCCAAATACCATATAATATATATGAGGTATTAATGTATTATAGTTTATAATAATACATTAGTTGAAACATGGAAATTGACACCAAACTTGCAGTTTGCCTCTTTACGTATAGCATTTCAGATCATACTTTTCGTTTTTTACAGTATTATTACAATAATATACGCAAAAAAATTATAAACGGAACATAATTTGTCGGGGCCGGAAGCATATAATGCTAATATGCGCACTCCGGACACCTTTGTTGCTCACCACTAACACCTAGGCAATAAAAATATGGAGGACTAGCTGGGTGTGTGGYGATGTAATAGCTCGAACAGCAGTGGTCGGGAACGCCGGGCAAATACTGTCGAGCTATGTAGTGCGTGTTATGGATTGCGTGTATTTGTGTATGAATGTGAGTATGTATGCAGATGTGTGTATAATAAAACAAATAATAATAAAATGGTAACAAGGTTTTTGGTAATAGTTGCTGTGGCTGTATAATACACAATAATAATAATACAATATATATAATAAATCACCGCAATACAAATGTATAAAAATATAATATTAATAAATCACAGCCCTTATGGCTAAGTAATACAAATATAATAAATTGGCCCTTCTGTCCCAACAGAGTAAGAGTAAATGCTCGGCCCTTATGGCGCGAACCAAATCAAATAATGATAAGCACAGCTATCAGAGCTGATGCTCGTGTAAAAATAATTAAGATAAATATTACTTAACGTGCGGCCCTTCTGGCTTAACAATTAAATAAGTATAATAAAAACAATAATATATATATATGGCCCTTATGGCATAACAGAATACAGGGTTATAATATAAATGCTCAGCTCTTATGGCTAGGCAGATAAAAGTGTATAATATAAAATAATGTGTGGCCCTTATGACCAAACAAAATGTAAATACAAATAATAATATACGGCCCTTATGGCACGACAGAGTATCAATAATAATATATGGCCCTTGTGGCACGATAGAATCTAAATAATAATATATACCTACGGCCCTTATGGCAAGAAAAATAAAATATGTATACAACAAAAATATAATAATAAAATAACTCACAAGGTGTCGGTGAACTGCTGGCCAGCCG